GTGACAGTTTCACATGAGATTCTCAAAGAGTCATTCAGAATGTTCTCTCTATCAGCTGATCAAGAGTTGTCAGTAAGTGAATCAGGTGACTGCTGTGCATCCTTTCTGCTGAAACCCCTTTAGGAAACATGCAAAAAGACATCTTAAAACTGGATATTATCCAACCACGGAATGGGGGCTTCTTCCTTAAGATCATAAATCATCCACAGACAGGAGTATTGAACACCAGCATAGCTTTCAAGAAAATAAAATCAAGAGCCATCTTAAAAGGCTGATTTTATCCAACTCTATTAACTTTTTTAAGGCTCTTGCATGTTCAGTTTTGGGTAACAAATAATGAAATGAGGTAGAAACTATTTCATTTCATGAAGCACCTCAGTTCTCATTAGTAAAAGCACTTAAATAAGCTGTTCTTTTTAGTGTACAGATTTTTTATCTTGCGGTGCCTTTCATAGTTCTGAAAGAATAAGGGAAGGATAATCACTAGACTGAGGACAAATACTCACTGGACTGAGAACATCAGAGAGCTTTGTTTAAAAAAAAGTAAAAGCTGGTGCTTAAACCTGTTCACATGGAAATTACGCTGTTTTCATCTTGAAAGGGATACATCTTCCTGGATTTTGTTCATTAAATATTCTGTGGGTGTAACTATCTATCCATATGCTTTCCTATGCAAACTTCACATAACATCTAGGTGCAGAACACAAACATCGACATATCCCCTTTCATTTTCACCTGGCTTCTGTGCTGGGTTTCATACTTTACTAAGACTCACACACTAAGCTCACCAGCACCCTGTGACTACATTTCAAACTGGAACCTAGTGGATGATGCGTCACAAAAATATCTTAGTGTCACATTAGGAGCTTAAGACCACCGTACATTTTAATCCACATAAGTAACCTAGAGTCAGCGAGCACTGCATGTGCCAATACAAACTCCACAACTGAACAAAGAAAGTAAACTCTCTGCCAGCACCTATATTAACTTGTAACTCATAACTGGCAGCCCCCTCAAGTTCAGCAGGTGTGAGCCTGGCCAGTATCTGGATGGGAGATCTCCTGGGAAAAACTAAGGTTGCTGCTGGAAGAGATGTTAGTGGGACCAGTAGGTGGCGTTCACCCTGCGGTCTGTGTGGATCCTAAAACCCCAGTATAGTGATGGGGACTCTATACTGTAAAAAAGTGCCGTCCTTCAGATGAGACAGAAAACTGAGGTCCCGTCTCACTGTGGTCATTAAAAGTCTCGGGGCGTTTCTCGAAAAGAGACAGGGGGTAATCCCAGCATCCTGTCCAAATTTCCCCCTGGCC